AAGTTTAAAGTTAATGGAATCTACAAAAATTCCTGAAAATGACGTTTAAATATCCCTTCAGAGAACATTTTTTAATAAGCTGAGTAATGAAGCTGATATTCAAGTGACGAAGATAAATGGTCGAGTATATAACTTCTAACGAGTTTAGTACCATTAAAAGTTTCCTTTTTCTGTGCAATATTTTTTCAGCGAAACATTGAATTCTAATATTGAATTTGAAAATTATTCACTTCGTCTCCGATTACGTTTTTATCAATATATGTTATTAACATTCGTATTACCCATGCAACGTTTCTACTCGTTACTTAATACTAACAATTTTCATAATTTTTCTTTCTTCCGTTTCTTAATTATCTCATACATTCCTGTTTAAAATTGTAATAATAGAATTATATAGCTGCATAAAGATACGCAAAATACAGTAGTACAAACATATATATACTGCTGCGTCAAATATGTGCACCCATTGTCAGTCAAAAAAGACTTCGTACACCTCGTTAATATTTTAATAGAGAATGCAGCGAATAAATAATATTTACGTTATTTTATTTAGAACCGTAAAATTTTTTGTTAATACAAAGAAAAGTGATCTGCATTCATTTTTTACCTTGTGAAAGGTGTATAAATATCTGTAAAACATTATACAGAGCGAGCCACGTAAAACAGGATGCCTAAACATATTTTCTAGCTATGATGGTGTAAAAACATTTTTATACGAAACTTGAAGGATTTCGAAGGGTGAATTAGATGGGAAGAAATGATTTCTACAAACGTCATTCTTTTCTGTTTTCTTTTTTTTTTTTTCAAATTCGCCTATTTTTTTATGTAACTGTATATACATTTTTTTTCTACTGTATGTTGTATGTAATAGACATTGTGACTTTAAAATGGCCTTGGACTCTAAAATTTTAAATCAAATGTGAAACTCCCTTTAATTTGTTGCAATTTTTCTCCCATCTTATTCACACTTTGAAGCCATTTAAATGATGCATAAACATTTTCTCATACCTTATGTATAAAATTCTGTATAATGTTATCTCGTAAAGAAGATAATGATGTAATTAATACATTATTAGTAAATTAATAAAATTTAAATTAACACACCCTGTATGTCATAGGAAAGTAGACTTTTCTTCCACTTGTATGCTTCATGCCATTACGTTAGATACAACAAATTTCAATATTGCTAACTTTATCAACATTGTAATTTTTTTACGTAGATATCATACTAATGGTATTTTAAATTTTCTATGAAGAACTTCTATCCTTCTGTAAAGAAACATCACTTTATCCTAAGCAAACATCCAAGTACACGTCCATGCGTGTTTGTTCTAGGTGGCATGGGTGAGCATCTATACACAGACTATCTTGTCTATCCACCATAAGGTCATCACACAAAACCCACGCATCTCGATAACCCACAACGACCATCGTACATGGTCTCTCCATATAATGAAGGTGGAAGAAAAGGATCGTGGATGGTACATGTGCCAGGTGAACACAGATCCCATGATAAGTCAACAAGGCTACCTACAGGTTGTAGGTAAGTTCATTACCGTATCTGGATACTCGTGTATCGATGAAATATGCTTTTCTCGATTAAAACATGCTACTTCGAAATTCGAATTGAATTTTCTCGAAAAATGGAACTTTTGCTTACTTTGCTCTAATTGGCGAACAAATAGGTACACTTCATACCCAAAAATAGGAAACCGAGACGGGAGAATAGAGAGGGAGTGGTTGGCGTAGCGCACAAAGTCTCGGCTTGCTAAGCCGAAGGTCCCGGGTTCGATTCCCGTTGTGTCCCTCAATATTTTTCCGTCTATTCCTATAGTATTGTATGATTTAAATTAGATTTACAGTAGATTTCCATAGGTTTCAAAAGGTTTCAATAGATATTAGTAGAATACAGTATACTTAATAGAGTTCAGCAGAGTTCAGTAGATTTCAGTAGAATTCACTAAATTTCAGTAGATTTCGCTATGCTCCACATTCAGTAAGTGTCCCACTACTTATGAATGGGAGTGTACGTCATAAACTTAGATATTTTGAATACGTAAAATGAAAATTAGTTTTAAACAACTTTCGATATTGATAACGAAGGAACATCCACGTCACTGTTGCATGTTACCGACAGCAAATATCATTCTGTTATTCTATTTCAAGAATAATCGTCGAGTGAAATTAGATATTAAGAACAAAAGAATGTTATTGAAATAGTTGTCAGTGATTCACCAATAGCGGAACATTAATTACTGTTAAAGTGATTCCAGATTTAACATTATACAGCTTGATTCGGATAAAAACTTCGAAACAATTTAGCTTCGAGTTAGTTGTTAAACTGGGTTAGAAATTATATCAGGCTTCCAATATTCAATCAACGACCAAACTATTTAGGCTTCTTTAGGATTAATCAGCAATTAGCTACATATTACGGTTTCAAGAGTTTAATCACACTATTGACCGGTTTAAAAATGTATACATTAGTTAATTATACATTACTTGCTTCTGATATGTCTATATTTTCTATCTATTTTCAAGTTCACTTTCTTAATAACTATAAATTTATAATTTACATTAACGATCAATTGTTTGTGTAATCTAAAATTAGTAGAGATAAATAATACACGTTTATATTTCACTTATCGATATAAAATCTCGAAACTCAGCAAGAATGATATCGATTTCGGGTGAATTATCATTATCGATTTTGGCTGAGTTCACTTTGCAGGTGACATTTAATTAACGGCAAATTTAATAATTTTAAGTGTATAATTGGTTTGAAAATGAAATTTTAAGTAAAAGCTAAGTCTTCAACGATAAAATCAACCTCAAGCACTTAAATAATTTTTTTTTTTCATCGTCACACAATCGTGAAGTTGAAAAAATTGAAAAAAAATTCAAGTATATACATATAACAAGTATTATTAGTAGAGATAAATAATACACGTTTATATTTCACTTATCGATATAAAATCTCGAAACTCAGCAAGAATGATATCGATTTCGGGTGAATTATCATTATCGATTTTGGCTGAGTTCACTTTGCAGGTGACATTTAATTAACGGCAAATTTAAACCTTACTCGAGCGGTTAAGCAAATTCTCACTGTAGGTAGTTTATCAGTAATACCTTCTATCTAAACAGCGGCTCAATGGTACAAATTATAATTAATCTCATACGTAAATCCACCATTTGGAATTTAGCTTACAGATAATTATTTCGCAAAACGGCGAAGTTAAATAAATAGCGGCGTAAATGACATCGGGTTGTCATTCGTTGCTTATTTGATGAATTCGTTTAATAACATGCAAACACCTTTTATGGGTGTTACCTTTAGCTCTGGTTTAACGAAACCCACTTTCCACTGTCATGTCGGGGTTGCAACATTGCTGCCGGGAGTCCCTCCCGAAAATCGCACATTGTTGCAAACGCGTACCGGGTTTGCAACTTTGTTGCCGAAAGTCGCTCCCGAAAATCGCACATTGTTGCAAACT